CTTTACATTTTCTAGGTGACTTTATTTAAATAATTAGGTTTATTTATCTTTGAGGGCGGTACTGGGGGTTGAACCCAGGACCTTGTGCATGCTAATAAGCATGCACTCTACCACTGAGCTATACTCTCCCCCCAAGAATCTTATTTTAAATAATATTTTTTTTAAAAGATCATAAGAATGTTACCAAACATACACCACTGTAGAGAGAGTAATAGTATAATGAATCTCCATACCCAGTACTCAGCTTCAACGGTTATCAACGGTCTGCCACGCTTGTTTCTTCTATTCCTCCGCCCCTTATGATTTTTTGTGGAAGAATTTTACTGTATTGCCATTTAATATTAGCATTTTTGAAAGGATATATCCTGAAACTTTTGAAATCTTGAAATTAACAAATACTGCTATAGCATATAATTTGCCCAGTAAAAAATGTGTGGTAAAATATATAGGTATGTAAAAATTTTAAGTGACCTCTTCAAGTCCTTAATGATCATATAAATATGGAACTTAATCAGTTACTAAGCTATTAAAATAAATTCTGAATGGAGCACTCACTGAAACAGTTTTTCAGATTGCTTTTTCCCTTCATTTTAGGCAGTGTCAGTCACAATCATGGTCCAAGTCACTACAGAATTTGCTGTTCCTTTCTTTAATCTATTAAGAATATATGAGTTCTAAGAAACATCACTTTTTAAACTTCATTTTCTCTTCGTGCCTAGCACTGGATTTGGGTTGACTTTCTTTTGGGGCCATATTCTATAGTTACTGAAAAAACATATTTTATTTTTTAGAAGTACTGGTTATGTGCATTAAGTGCATACCTGAATTACAGGCTCATGCAGTTTAACTTCATGCTTCATTAGAAAAATCATATCATCTGATGGATGGATCTTTATTGTCTCTGGGGAGCAGTCACAAGTGAATGTCAAATCTGAGTCTCAGCAATAATAAGAAGTCAATTAAGGCATGTTTTAAAGAATAGATAATTTATTCTTTCAAGCTCAGTGAGTAGTATGAGTTAGTTTAGTAAATTATTTTTTCAGCAGAGATCTTGCCAGATCATTTAAAAATTATTGTTAAAAAATGACATTAAATTTACCATTTTAATCATTTTTAAGTGTTTAGCTCAGTAGTGTTAAGTATATCATTGTACCACAGATCTCTAAAATTTTTTGTCTTGGAAAGTTGAAACTCTGTATCCAGTAAACACTATTGCAAGACCATTTTTTAGTGAAAAAATAGCTCATTTGAAATGAGAAGTATTTATTTACATACCAACATTGAATTGTTAGTCTCTTTTGTAATCATGTAAAGAATTAGACATTATGAGGCAGAATTTTAGTTTTTCTCTTAATACAATAAACACTATAAAATTGCTGGTGGGAGGTTGAGCCAAGATGGCGAGTAGAGAGACTACAGCTCGCCGTCTCTCACAAATACACCAAGAATTACATCTAAAAACCCGCTGAATTGCACACAACACTACTGAACTCTGGCAGAGTGTCTCTTGTTTCAAAATACAGGATTCTCACAAAATCCGATAAACAATAGGGAACTGTATTCAATGTCTTGTAGTAACTTACGGTTAAAAAGAATATGAAAAAAATATGTATATTCCTGTATGACTGAAGTATTGTGCTGTACATCAGAAAGTGACACAACATTGTAAACTGACTATACTTCAATAAAAATATATTAAACAAATAAATAAAATTGCTGGCACTCTTTTATCCTACCCTTCCCCCAAGTAGCATACAATTTTTCTTAATCTCAGACTTCATTATAGTATCATAGCTATCAGTTAAGTCTGAAGTAATGAAACTTTGCTGTTTGGTTAAGAACTTTTTATATGAAACTATGATTCTACCCCAGCAGTTTAACTGGAGTACTTAAATGGAATGAGGGTTACTGGTTCTTATCCTGAGTTCCAAACATTCTTCTTAGTGTTTCTGTATCTTTCATGCAGTCTTTTTATATCATTCAGACTTTCCTCAAAATCTGCCTGCCTTGGTCCTCGGATTATCTTTAGGTATCTTTCATTTGCTTGTCTTTTTTGGACAAATATTTATCAACTGGCTGTTAAAGTACAGTTACTATTTGCAGGATCTGTCTACTGCCTACATAGTTGTTACCATCTCAGTTAAATTTCTCCATTTTTTAATGAGAGATATGAACTCATATAATCCATAATGTCTTAACAACTGTTTTTTATAGTTTTATTGAGATATAGTTAATGTATAGCACTGTACAAGTGTAAGGCACACAGCTTAATGGCTTGACTTCCGTATATTGTGCAGTGTTTACCGCAATAAGTTTAGTTAACATCCATCATCTTATATAAATACAAAAAAAGTTTTTTTCCTTGTGCTGAGAACTCTTAGGATTTACTCTCTTAACAGCTTTCAAATATACCATATAGCAGTGTTATTAACTCGAGTCGTGTACTTTACTTACCTTATAATTGGAAGTTTGTACCTTTTGACTAGTACCTTCATTCAGTTCCCCTACCCTCCCCCCAGTAACTACAAATTCGATCTCTTTCTAAGAGTTTGTTTTTGTTTCTGTCTGTCTGTTTTTAAGATTCCACATGTAAGTGTGATCATACAGTATTTGTCTTTCTCTGATTTATGTCACTTAGCATAATGCCCTCGAAGTCCATCCATGTTGCTGCAAATGGCAGGATTTCCTATTTTTTCTTGTGGCTGAATAATATTCCAGTGTATATAAACTGTTCATTGAAAACTTGTTACTGTATGTGAAGCTACTTCTCATAGGTTTTAGGGCTGAAGCTTTGGTACTGTCGTCCTGCTTTCCTTCAGGACTCACTTATGGGTGTTTTGTTTAAAACCTCACATCTCAGTGCCATCATCTGTGTGTGTTAAAATGTACTCTTTTAGGGCAGTGGCAAAGGAAAGCCAGATGGATTAACCATGTATAACAGTTTTTTCCCCAGTACACACACTCGAGACATGGCTTAAATGATGGTAAGTCATAGGCAAAATGGGAAAAAATTCTTTGGAGGTTAGATTCTGGATTTTCTTAGTAAACATTTATTGTTTTATAATTCCTAAAATTGTTCAAACTCCTAAAATTGTTCAAACTCTTAAAAAATTATTTTCCTAATGTTTGCCTATACTACCTCTTAGACTATTGAGTTCCTTTTTTTCTTTTGAACTTGCCTCACTCACTGTGTCTGTCAGCCTTTTGAGGAAAAGAGCCCTTAATATCTTTATTCTTCTTAATGTCACCCCTCCATCTTTTATTGCTCTTTTCTGGATCTTTTCCATTCCATTTTATATTTTATGAAGATCAACCAGAACTTATAGTCAGATTTGGACACAATATAGCATAAACATAAAGGCAGAATGTGATGGTCTTTTTAGTTTTCAATGCCTTTCTTCATTCATGGCCTTCCAGTATTTTGTTGGTTTCTTCATCTGAAGCAAATTAGATGAAAATCCTCACTGAAGACTGTAGGGAATTCCTAAATTAGAAACTATGGCTTTTTCATTTTAAAAGCAATATATGTGTTTTAGAGAATAATTGGAAACTAAAGAAAGTAAAAATTTTCATAGTCCAATAAAGAAAACTCATTTTGTGTTTTGGTAAACTCCCTAATAGTCTTTTTTTTCTCTGTATAATATTTTTGTATGAGTATGTGTTTTTATATATTACTTTTCTTAAATTTAACTTCAGACAAACATTTTCTGTATTTTAACAAACATTTTCTATATTATAAATTATTCTTAATAATTCCACAGGATTTGGTGGATCAGTGCAGTCTTAATTGCCTTAATTCCCATGTGTTGAAAAGACTTTCATGTTATTTGTATTCCTTGTGATTTTTAAAGATCTTGTTCTTTCTCATGTTGCCATGTTTTGTTTTTAATATCCCATTCCTGCGTATTATGATTAAATATTCAAGTAGGTTACAGTATTTGAGTTAAAAAAACAAAACCACAAATTTGAAAAGATACTTGCACTTCAATGTTCATAGCAGTATTATTTACAATAGCCAAGATATAGAAGCAACCTAAGTGTTCATCAATGGATGGATAAAGAAGATGTGTGCGTGTGTGTATGTGTGTATATATATATATATACACACACATATATATACAGTGGAATACTGCTCATCCATAATAACGAATGAAATTTTGCCATTTTCAGCAACATAGATGGACTTTGAAGGCATTGTGCTAAGTGAAATAAGGCAGATAGAGAAAGACAAATATTGTATGGTATCACTTATATGTGGAATCTAAAAAATATGACAAACTAGTGAGTATAACAAAAAAGAAACAGACCCACAAATATAGAGAACAAACTAGTGGTTACCAGTGAGGAGGGAGAGAGGGGCAAAAAGCGGGGAGGAATGGGAGGTACAAACTGTTAGGTATAAGATAGGATCAAGGATGTATTGTACAACATGAGAAATATAGCCAATATTTTGTAATAACTGTAAATGAAAAGTACCTTTAAAATTGTATAAGAATGTTTGAAAAACTGAGCTAATATCCATCTCTGTTTACATTTCTTTATGGAATCTGGTGGCTTGGGATTGTTTTCTTTAAGAAATTTTCTCCCCAGACTGTGTTGGTATAGTATGATACTTTAATACTTTGTACTCATTAAGTATTAATTCTCCAGATGCTTTCTCTTAGTAGTTGGAAGGTAACATTTATCTCATAGCTGTTTCTCCTTGGCCACTGTTTCCTTTTATCCCATTATACATGTGTGTTGAGTGTTGCATTTATTTCAGTCGTATGTACATTGTCCTTCCAAGTGATGTAGTCAAGGACAGTATCAGACTTGAAATCTCATGCACCCTGTAATCATAGTAAATATTAATTTAATAAAGATGCTACCTTACTTTACAAAAAGCTTTTAAGAATAGCGGTAGCTTGCCAGTAATATAACTTATAATAGTAATCAGCATATACTCAATAGAGTAGTCCCTGTTTTGCATCTAAACTTTTTGTTTCTCCTTCCATTTCCAGGTTGCCATCACGAAAGCCAAGGTGGATTTCTCCAGTGTAGTGTGCCTGCCCCCTTCCGTCATTGCTGTGAATGGGCTGGACGGAGGAGGGGCTGGCGAAAATGATGATGAACCAGTGCTGGTGTCCCTGTCTGCGGCACCCAGCCCCCAGAGTGAAGCTGTTGCCAATGAACTGCAGGAGCTCTCCTTGCAGCCCGAGCTGACCCTCGGCCTCCATCCTGGCCGGAATCCCAATTTGCCTCCACTCAGTGAGCGGAAGAATGGTGAGTAGATACGGAATTAATGACTTGCCTGATTTGAACCAAGGTCTTCATGTTTATAATGTCATAGATCCTTACTTTATTTTATGTCTCTTGAGAGTTTCGTATAATCTTAATATTTCCTATGAAATAAATAAGTTGAGGTGATCGTTGTAAGCCCAGTATTCCTGCCTGGGTTATCATAATGACTTTCTAACTTGTCTTCCTGTACCTCTCTGCTTCTCCCTCCTTCACCCTTCCATAAATTTGTTAATTCAGCAAATACTTACTGAGCATCACTGTTATTATACACTGTGCTAAGTTTAGGGATTAAATGGTAAACAAGCTCCAGCATTAGGAAATTTCCCTGTTCCATACCTTGTCAGGGTAGTCTTTCAGAACTCCCTGGATGAATACTTTCCAGTGCCTGTCCTATGGAATATATTAAAAATAAATAAATAAATAAATTTCTGGACATGTTTTTCAAGGCTTTGCAGGATCTGGTCTCTTTCTGTTTCCTTAGCTTCTCGTATTCCTTCAGCCCTAGTCTTTGCTCCAGCCTGTTAATTGCTTTTTTAGTACAAACCATGTACTATTACATCGTTTAAAAAGCAATGACTTTTGTTAATTAAAAAGATGTATAATCTGTTATGAAATATTTAAGATTTAAAAGAAGGTATAAAGAGTAGTGTAGCAAATACTTGTATCCTCACGTACCATCCGACTCATGTATGCTCCATGAATTTTCACCCACCCCTAGAGGTGACCACTACCCCGAATTTGGTATTTCATTACCAAGTATTTCTCTGTTTGTTTTTTTACCATATGAATATATTCCTAAACAGTATATAATATTTCTCCTTTTTTAAACCCATATACATGTTTATGTAATATATATTAATTGGACAGAAAGAACTGTATTTGTTTTCTTCAGCAAGTTGTGTTTATCATTCAATATTTATTTTCCCCGTGAGTTATTAGAGATATTCTATACTTTCTCCTAATCTAATCTGTGAATCACCATTTATTGACTAGTTCTACTTTTCCCTAGTGCCAGCTTTATTCTGTTTCCCTCTGTGCAGGAGTTAGTTTTGGGGCTCTTTTTCTGTTTACTGATCTCTCTGTTCTCCTCTGTCATATTACATCATTTTATTTATTGTTCCTTAATAATTAGCCTTGCTGTCCATTAGGACAGGTCTCTCCTTACCTTTTCCTTCTTCACAATTGTTTTGGCTAATCTTGCCCTTTTAGTTTTCCCTAATTTTAGAATCAGCTTGTGAAGTTCTACAAGAAAACCCACTGGGATTTTTTCTCCAACATTTTATTATGAAAATTTTCAAACACATGATGAGGTAGAAAGAGATTTACAATGAACACTTTTATATCCACAACTCAGATTCTGCCATTAGCATTTTGTAATATTTGCTTTATAATAGATCAGTCCATACCCCTATCTATCAGTCTACCTTATTTTTTGGATGCATTTCAAGGTAAATTGCAGGTATCAGTATATTTCCATTTTCTTGAAGAGTAGCGTTGATACAGAATAACACATAAATTGTCAGCATCCTGGTTATTAGGTTGTCACCAAGTGAATACACCTGTACATAATTACTGCTTAACGAAGAAATAAAATGTTTCCAGCACCCAGAACCACCCCTTGTGCTTCTTCCAATCAGAACTCCCTCTTCTTGCCCAGAGGAAACTACCATCCTGATTTTTAATACAATAGGTTAGTTTTGCTTGTTTCTAAACTTGATATAAATGGAATCATGCTGTACAGTGTTCTGTTGGTAGCTTCTTTTATGTTTTTGAAATTAATTTGTGTTGAACAGT